AGGGGGTTGGAACTGGGTGAGCTTTAAGGTCCCTTCCAATCCAAACCAGGCTGGGATTCTATGAAGGACAGAGCTCAGAAGGTTGTGATCACTGGTGTAGTCAGCAGCGTGCCCTTAAGCCAGGAGGAACAAGAGTATCTTGGGGAGCATAGGGAGGAGTGTGGCAAACAGGTCAAGGGATGGGATCTTCCCCCCTCTACTGACTGTGGTGGGGCCACATCTGGAGCACTGTGTCCAGGTCTGGGCTCCTAAGTACAAGACAGACAAGAGGCCACAAGAATGATCAGGGGTCTGGGGCATCGCTTATGAGGAGAGATTGTGGGAGCTGGGCCTGGTTAGTCTGGAGAAGAGCAGACTGAGAGGGGATCTCATCAATGCAGATCAGTATCTCAAAGCTGGGTGCCAGGAGGATGGTGCCAGACTTTCCAGTGGTACCCAGTGACAGGATGAGGAGCAATGGCCATAAACACAACTTCCACCTCAACACAAGGAAGAGCTTCATTCTGTTGATGGTGGCAGAGGACTGGAACAGGCTGTCCAGGGAGGTTGTGAATCTCCCTCTCTGGAGATGTTCCAAACCCACCTGGATAAGTTTCTGTGTGACCTTCTCTGGGTGGCTCTGCCTTGCCAGGAGGCGGGACTGGATGATGTCCAGAGGTCCCTTCAACCCTGATGATTCTTTATTTAGGAGGGATTTTCCCCACCTCCATTTTTCCAGCAAGCAGCGAGGTGGGACCGCATGGAAGGGGATGCACACCGCAGCAGAACACCAGCCTGGTGGCAGCTTCAGAGGGGAACCATGGCCATACATACACCCACCCCCTCCATCCCTTCTTGTGCTGTGAGTGGGGGCTGGACTCAGACACCCCCCACCTCCCCACGGCCAGACCCAACAAGCCCAGCTCCTTCCCATCTCCTTGTGGCTTGGGTGCTCTCATCTCCAACCCACTGAGGTCACAGCTGGGTCCCCACATCCCCCTGGCACAGCCCAGGATGTGGTTCCACCATCACCCTTCCAGCAGGACTGCCTGACTGGTGGCTCCTGCCTGCCCTGATGCCTCGGTTGACCCTGGTGCTGCTCTGCCTGCACAGTGTCAGTGGACCACGACGAGCTCTCAAGCAAGGAGGACAAACCGCGATGACCAAGGGCTGCATGGGAAGCACCATCACCACAAGTGTGTCAGGCCAGCAGTAAGGAGGGGACAATAGGAGATGTCTCAGCTGAGGGAGAGGGGCCAGGCCACTGGCATCTCCCTGGGGACCCACCACTCTACTAAGACCCCTCCATCAGCGCCAGGATGCTGTTGTAGAGGCGTTCGGTGGCATCCAAGCCCCAGATGAAGTCCCAGTGGTTCCAGTCGGGGATGTGGCCATAGGTGACAAGGTGGGCGATGCGGGGCAGTAGCAGGCGGACGTCTCTCCAGTCAGCTGCCCAGTCTTCTCCTCCTGACCACACCGCGGTGGGCACGGGCATCTCCTCCACATGGTACAAGGGAGGTGTCTCCTGGAGGGACATGGGGGGCTTTGAGGAACTGCTCCTGTGGTCCACCCCTGCAAGCCAACATGTCCCCACACCACAGAGCCCTGGCACCTCCAGCCACCAGCACTGCTGGTGCAGTCTCCTACCTGGTGGTAGATGGCTGGGTTTGCACTGCCATAGTCAAAGGCTTTGAATTCTCCTGATTTCACTACCTGCAAGGAGAGGATAGGTCTGCGGTGGGAGGCCAGGGAGCACTCTGTATGGGTCCTGCATCTCCCAGCCTCCTAAAAGGATCATGTCATGAGAGGAGGTAGTGATGCACGGAGGTGGCATCCTTCCAGAGATGGACTTTCTACCTTTTTTAACAGGGTGATGCTTTGAGCTCCAGCTCCACTCCTGTCCCTAGCTATAGGTTGGCAAACCAAGGCACTGCATGTGACACTTCGGCGCTGCGGGGTGATGCTCGAACCTCTGCAGACCTGCTCATCACCAGCTCATGTGCAGGGTGGTGCTGGATGATCAACAACCTGATCATTCCTACTTTCTTGTCACGCTCTGGGCTGAGTATAGAGACATCAGTCCCAGGTATTGTAAGGGTTGCTTCTATGCTAGGAACCTACCTGGGCCCAGTGTATCATGGTTTTGACAGACGTCCTATCCGGATAGTGGGATGTGTACACATCCAGCCTTGTCTGCAAGGAAGCACATTCAAACTAGAGCACAAATCTGGTGAGGAATGGCTGAGGGGCCCACTGGCCTAGACTTAGGGGGCAGCCCCTGGGTGGGGGGGCCCAAGGGAAGTGGAGGGGCTTAGTCTGGAGAAGAGAAGGCTCAAGGGAGACCTTTTCATTCTCTACAACTGCCTGACAGGAGGATGGAGCCAGGAGGGGGCTGGTCTCTGCTCCCATGGAACAAGTGACAGGACAAGAGGAAATGGCCTCAAGCTGCACTGGGGGAGGTTTAGATGGAGATTAGGAACAATTCCTTCCCCAAAGGGTGCTCAAGCTTTGGAAAAGACTGCCCAGGGCAGTGGAAGTGTTCACACACCGTGTAGACGAGGCCTCAGTGCCAGGTGTTAGTGGTGGCCTTGGCAGTGCTGGGGAATGGTTGGACTTGATGATCTAAAGGTCTTTTCCAACCTGGTTGATTCTATGATTCGGTGATTGCTTTCCAATGGATAAGAGCAAGGACAGCAGTTGCCATCCTTGGGCATTTCCCAAAACAGCCACTGCTGAGTCAAGCTTCCTAGAGAGTTGGGCCAGGAATATAATCTTCATTAAAAACCCATTGCTCTCAGACAGCTCCAGGAGAAGAATGGTGAAGGATGAGGTACCCTCTAGCTCCTGGAGATACCTCCTCTGGGTTCAGGGACTGTGCTCAAGACCTTAGTGACTACTTGTGGTCACCCAGGGTGGGTAGGAGCAGGGGCTTCACCCAGGGGTGCTGGTGGGATGTATAGCTGGTCTCGGTGGCAGTGGGTGCTGCTGGGTGCTCCCAAGTGGTGCAGCCCAGGGCTCCAGCTCTCTCATCCCCATGCGGAGTGGTTGCACTCACCATGTTGAAGTTCTTCTCATTGTAGCCACCCAGCAGGAAGAGGAGGTTGGCACAAGGCTTGTGCAGGAGCTGGTTCCTGCAGAGCTGGGGGAGAAACCTCCACAGCTTCCTCATCCGGAGCGAGGCGTCCGTTCTGCCAAGCAGGAGCTGCAGGAGCAAAGGGCAAGGTTGATGTCTGGCACTTCCCTTCCTTGAGCCTGGACCTCAAACTGCCCCCCCTGACGTGCCACCAGCCGCTGTCCCCTGAGCTGTGTGGGGAGGGTATGTGTGGCACTCACATGGGTCAAACCCACTTCTCCTTTGCCCCCCTGCCCTGCTGAGGTCTGCATGGCTCAATGCAGGAGGTGATGCTGACTGAATGCACACCAGGGAAATCAGTACTCGGGACTCTCTTCTTCCCCGTAAGTGTTGAGTTTGTTTGTCATTAACATCAACACAGTAAAGCTGCTCTTTCCCAGGTGATCTGTCCATGAATTCAACAAATGCCCTCAAAGAAAGACCGTCGTCAACACCTTAAGATCCTGCAGATGGAAGGCAGGCATGCACTCAACAAAGTGACTGTGCAGGGTGCATCTGAACCTGATGAATTGGGTCTGTGCTTATAAACCAGCAGGAATTAGCTGTCTCCTGCTGTGTCAGATAGCCCCAGGGGCTGTGCCTGGGAACAATCCCTTTTCTAGCACTGGTGTGTTTGGGAGACAAGAGCATGGAGCAACCCCCTACCTGGATCGTCTTGAAATGCCTGTCTAGAAGGAAGGGCAGTTTCATGATGGGGCTTCTGGCATGTTTGGCTGTCACTACTGGAGCCAGGGCAAAAAACAGTTTGATTTTCTGAGCCAGTTCTGGCATGGATGAAAAGGCAATGAACGCTGAGGAAACAGAAAAACAGCCTAAGACTGGGTTCATCTTTCTTCAGGTGCTTAATCTGAGGGTATGCTTGCCCAGACCTGTTTATCTGGCATTACATCCAATTAGAAACCTGGGATGTCTTCCCACCTTTCTGCCTAGCATTAGTGCTAGAGATGTCCAGAAGGAGGCAAAGCCTTTATTCCTATGGTTAGAAGTGGCTGATGAGGCACTTCAATGACTACTACTGATGGGAAGTCCTGCCCCATTCACCAGGTGAAGGGAACAGTGCTCTCATATTCCATCAACCCCTGCTAAAGTGTGTCATCATCACAGAGGTTATCTCATGCTTCTGATGGCCCAGGTGAAAAGAAGCACAATGCATTTCATTGGAAAGCAGAAGATGTGACATCCATGCAAAATGCCTTGTTTTTGATGAGGGATGCTGCAACTTGGTTTTCTAGGTTGAATTATAATTGCAGCAAGGAACTTACTGAGATCACCAGGAGCTTTCTGACTCCCCTAGGAGCATGCTGGTTGTCCCAGATGTCTTATATGAAAAGCATGGCTTGTGTGCCTCATTGCAAGAGACCTTCTACCAAGTCTGCCTGCTTGTCAGCCCTCAAAGATTGGACCTCTCTGCTTCCTGCTTACAAACACCAAAATGAGGATTTTCAAGGTGGTCCAGGCAGTTCTAACACACCAATCGTGCAGCCCTGGGAGTAGCCAATGTAATAGATCTGCTTCTGTCCAGTCTTCTGCAGGATGAAGTTGATCATGGCTGGGAGGTCATACATTGCCATCTCATGGAAGCTGCAACACAAGGGCAGTTCACTGGTTATAAGGTAACACCCGGACAGCAAAGTTCCCTTTGACTTTTGGCTGCCTTGCATTGCTTCTGTACTGAAGGGTTTAATATCCATGGCTGATTTACCAGGAGAAAATTCCTGTGAGGTAGGAGAGCCCTGTGCTGGGTGAAACTGCGCAGGGGCTGAATGTATCCCTCCTGCCACAGCCTCATCCTTCCCTGAAAGGGCTTAGTCCTCCCATAGCCATGGTTAGCAGCAAAGAGGTTGTGCAGAGCCTGGCCAGCTGTGCATCCAGGTCTGCAGCCCCAGAGGTGGCTCTTGTCAGGGTTATGGCACCAGCTCTGCTCCTAGAGATGCTCTTCCCCAGCAGTGCGTGGAGCACTGGTTACTGCCCATGTGCTTTTTAGTGTGATGAGGTGAAGCAGAGACCTACTTTATCACGTTTTTCTTACTGGAAGCATGTTTATGAGCTAGGGAAATCCAGGACTGCTCTGAAGATCAGTTCTGGAGAGGCAGTAGCAGTTTAAAAAGCCATTCTTGGGAACAAGTTTTCTGTGGACAACATCTAGGAGAAGGGTAGGTTGCAATGGTGCTTCTGGACCCCTTGCTGGGGGGGGTTTGGCGAGGGAGGTCCCCACAGAGGCCCCAAGATAGGGCTGATGTCTCTGCAGGATGGATGTCCCCACACATGCAGCAGGGCCAGCTGCAGGGAGCTGCTGTCACTGTGCCAGCAGGCAGGTCTGCACAGATACCTCCAAATCCCTGGCACATCACTGGGAATGCTGGGGGAGGCCATACCAGAGATGAGGTGCTCTGACTTGCCTGCTCGGAGGCACCCACCTCTGCCTAGAGGTTAGTGGCAGGCAGAGGAATGGGCTGTGCTGTTGTGATCTGCTCCAGCCCACCTGAAATCCCAGAATTCAGCCTGGTCAGCAGAAAAGTGCTGGTGTCGCTGGGACCAGCTCGTCCCCCGGCTGTTTCCCAGCCAGACGTCATAGCCAGAGTCTGCCAGTATGAAGCCAAGGCTGTTGTTAGATAGGTTTTCGACCCAGTGGCTGCCTTCTCCGAGTAAGCCGTGCTGCAGAATCACAACTGGCCTGGGCCCTGGATGTGAAAGAAACAGCACATTGCACTGAACCAGAATTCCTCTGCTTATTCACCCCAAATTCAGGCCAATAAAGCCTCTTTCTTGCACTGCCAGAGAACATACAATGTGCATTTGAATGACATTTCCTTGCCGTAGTTGTCTTGTGGTGGTTGCCCTCATTGTCTCAGGCTGGAGAGCTGCAGATGTCCCTCCTAAGCCTTTGAGACCCCACAAGCTTATCCCCACAAGCTTAGTACAATGGACACTGAGAACAGCCATGTGAAAGCTCAAATGTACAGGTTCATTCCTGAGATTGTTCAAACCCCAAAGGCACAGATTTATGGGGGGAAAATTAAATTAAGATATATCTCTTAAGATACATCTGCATCCTCTGGGCCTTTTTAAGGCTCAAGTCTCTGCTGGGTGTGACAGGCTGTTTCTGTGCTGTAGACACACTTTCCTGTGCTGGCTGCTGGAAGTGTGACTGTAAATCTGAGAAGTACTGTGTATATGGTATTTTTGCTTTCACAATAAATGCTCCCCTGGCTGGTCAGGCTCATCCCTTCTTGATACATTGTCTTCTTGGGGGTTTTTTTGCTGGTTTCCTTGTGAAATAGTGATGTACCTCTGTTCCTAGGATTTGCTCTTCCATAAGGAATCCTGTTGAGGCTCACATAGTAACCATCATGAGTCAGGACTTCATACTCCTCACTGGGGTACCCTCTGTGGCAGATGATTTGGCTCTGGGGAAAGACAAACACAGGTGGAAAGCTAAACCTCCCCAGGCACAGCTTGAGGCTGTTTCCTCTTGCCCCGTTGCTTGTTCCTTGGGAGCAGAGACCAGCCACCTCCTGACTCCATCTTCCTGTCATGTAGTTGTAGAGACTGGTCCCCCCTGAGCCTTCTCTTCTCCATACGATGCTCCATGAGATGCTAAAGGGAAGAGGAAATGCTGAGCCGTGGGCTGTGAGCAGGAGGGGTGAGTGGCAGCAGGGCTCCCTCGCCGCTGCAGCAGCACATGCATTTGAGATGTGTCCAAACTCAAAGACTGAAATGAAAAGGACTTACTGACAGCTGACATGTCATGTCACACTCTGAGCTGATGCGTGGGGCAGATAAGGTATCAGGGCATATTGAACCTGCTGAGCTGGGCTGACTGGAAGGGCAATAGGACAAACCCTGTAGGATTTGTCTCATGGTTCTTGAGGTTTTGCCCAAGCTTTATTTATGCTGAAAACTCCACAGATTGTGAAGTTGCAGTCTGGTGAAATCCAGCTGTGATCCTGCCTACACATCACTGTTTGCTTCGTCACACAGTTGGCAGAAGGGATTAATTTCAGCAATTTAATTGCCCAAGTCACGCGTCCATTTAAAATCACCTTTAGAGAGTTGCAGAACTCACCTGGACATGGCCCTGCACAACTTGCTGCAGCTGAAGGAGAGAAGCCATGCACAACTTTCAACCCTCCAGGACGGTGTCTGATCAAATCCAGTCTGAGTTCACCCCCTTCTCTAACTGACCTGGTAAGTGAAGTGCTGGTAATTGCACTTCATACTGCTGGGAGGAACAGGACTCCTTCAGGAAGCAGGGCTTGCTAATGATGGTACGGAGGCAACACCAGACTGCACCGCTCAAGAAAACCAGCACACATGATGACCCAAGCTTCTCCACATACATCCCCTCCATCCCTCTCTCCCCAGATAAATGTCCCCAAGGTCTCAGACAGTGGAAGTCCAAAGTTGTCCTGACTTACAACATTCATGAAAGTCTCGGGATTTATAACCTTCTTCTGCTTGATGACATCTTCTGAGTTCACGGGTGCTTGTGTTAAAACCAGGATTGCAATCAACAGCCACATCTTGTGCCTGTGTAAAATATTACTATTACTATTGCCATTGCCATTGCTATTGCTCTTGCTATTTAACATTGTTATGACTGTCTGTTTCTACTTCGTTATGATGGATTAGGTTCCTCATATGCCTGAAGACCGTATATCACGGTCTGGGCTGGAAGCAGAATGGATTCCCAATTCCAACTACCATTACAGTCCATGCAAGGCTCTTCATACTCCTCTGTACAGACTGGATCTGGTGCTTGGCAAAACCTATTTTTATATTTTTAATGGTAAAAAGTAGAGAAACAGCTTTATAATGCAAGAACTGAAGTGATAAAAAATACTGTCAGGCCAATTGTCACAGAGGGGGAATTAATTCAAAGTGAATTAATTCAAAGTAAGGGTTTATGCTATAGAAGGAACACATTTAGGTTGGCTGGAGTATGACTATGTCTATACTTTTGCTGTTTCTCTGTTGCTTAGCTTTGCACCCAGAAGCCATTATGAACAGAAGGATCCTATGAACTGAAACTGGTAGAGCCTCATAGGAAGGCTATTTATAAAATAAGTGTAACCTAAGATAAAAACCCAGAAACCATTCTGATCACCTTAAAGACTTTTCTTTTCCCAAGCGGAGATGTATTTTTAATACACACTCTTAATATCAGATACGATTTTTAAGCCCTTGACAGGATTAAAAGTTAGAGTTTAACTTCAACCCAGGAGCATAAGTTGCAAATCATCTCACCAGTCGTCTGGTTGCTCTCTACCTCCATTCTTCCCCCTCCTAATGGGTCACTCACACTGTGAGATGTATCTGCCCTCTGAAATATTCCCAGTAACCCTCTCTATGGTATTACCAAGAGGCAAGTTACAAGAACAAAAGCAATGAATGCTTTTCCACACTCAGGAGAGCTCCAATGCAAATCTGAATTATGCGAAGGAAAATACATTACCCAGCAGAGGCCAGCGTCGTAACTGATCAGGCTGGTGGTGTGAATGGTGGTGGCTCTATCATCACCAGTATTAAAACCAGCACGTTGTGTCAGATCCCTGGCACCATGCTGGAGTACATCACATGTCCTTCAATTATGTGATGTGTGTGCTGGTCATATCTTTGATAACTTCCTCTGCTTGGTCATGTGGTCATGACTTTGGTGGTTACAAAGGATTGTTTCCAAAAGCAGTGGAGTGGTGCAGCATGGAATTTCAGCTATGGAACTGCACCCTAAACTCATGGTAGCCACAGTAAAAAAATCTCAACAGGTTTTCTTTGTAAAGGATCATTTCCTAAGCCCAACGAGTTCTTTGGAAATGCCTCTTAGAAGAGCTCCTGGGACAATGAAAAGACTTGGACTTGATCAGCTTCACAAGGCCTCAGCGGTATGTCAACCTCTTCATAGACGCATGTCATGGCTTAAACCCAGCTGGCAACTAAGTACCATGCAGTACAAGTGCTGTTGAGATCCTCCTGTCATTCCAGAAATACAAATGGGTTCTGTCCCTCAGTGGCTAGATGGCATTAGGGTATCAGCATTATTCTCTGACTAAAACCAAAATACAGCACTGTACCAGCTACTAGGGAGAGAAATAACTCTATTCCAGCTGAAACAAGGACAACACAGCAAGGACAGGGCAGGCTTCACTGGCTTCCTGCATGGGAGGCACTTGGTGCACCACTCTTCAAAGCGACAGTGGCCCAGGTAATCTCCACATAGCCTTTATGCCCAAGTGGTAGTGTGTTTGCAACTAACAACTTGTAAAACCTCTGCAACATTTTCTGGACAAGTACCAAGCGTAGCCTCTTGCTGATAGATGGCAGAGCCTGTGCAATGCCTCCATTTGGGTGAAGTGGTAGGTATTTCACAGAGCAAAGGTGCTCATTCTCCACCTCCAGCTCATTCTCCACCTTACAACCTACGCCTTTCTGTAGCTGCTTGGTAGCCACTTAAAAGACTAAGCCTTCGGTTGGCTATCAGGTGCTTTGGTTGAGTATACCTTTCCTGGTCATGGGTTAGGCTGACTTCTAATGTTCATACCAGCCATAGTCAGTGAGCAGTATGCAAGCTATGGAACACAGCCCAGATCAAGCATGTGTTACTCCATCCACCAGATCGTCACTTTCTGTCAGTGCCACAACTGCTGACGCAAAGGGATGCTGTGTGTGTGGGTGCTCTCTTCCTGACAGCATCTGTGGCCTGTTCACTGTTTCATTACCTTAGTTCTGTCCTTGTGCCTACTTTAGGCTTTTGAAAATGTCTTCCCATTCGCATGAGTGCAAAAATGCCTCTACATAAGATGGGCTTTACAGGTTGTGTAAAGGGGGATACCACTGTGTGTCCCAGGAGGAGTTAGAAAACACCCTATGGATGGAGAAACCCTTACCAAGCTTGTGTACTACTACACTAGCATCAAGACAGGCCTTATCTTTTATATGTACAATCAGCTACTTCATCCACTGTCAAGTCTGCTGTCTCCTGCTTCCACAGAGTACTAGCTACCTAGTGGAGATACTAAGTATTAGTACTAGATACCAGGCAGCAGAGATTTCTCTATCCTCAGGCCATGGGATGAGGCTATCAGAGCAGAGTATCAGTGCTGAGGCTAGTGTGTGATTTCAGACCAGGACATTCCATAAGTGTGGTAGGAAGGAAAGAAGTTGGAGCAAAGAGCAGCTAGCTTTTTACTGAGAAACTCTTGTGGAGCTTAGTCAAGGGAAGAAATTAAGACCTTTGAGTTATTTGAAGTGAGGGGACCCGTGTTGGATGTTTTGACACAGTATAGGTGGAAAGAGCAATGCTGTCATGATAGTGCTGTGATTGTGCACTTAACAGGATTGTAAATAATCACTAGTATAACCTACAGGCCAGGATGCCATAATACATGGTAAGGTGCATAAAATTAAATAGACTAACATGGGCATCTTAAAATGCAGCTGTATAGCCATGCTCATGGGATGTTTTTACAGTATTGAGGTGGGAACCAAAGTAAGAAAACTCAAGACCATTTAGAAACAGAAAGGTATTTTATTTAGCTTTCTCACCAAGTAGACTGTACCAACCAGCACTTTCATACACACACTTTCAGAGGGGCCAAAATGTGTGTACCAAGTAGCCTGTCTAAGGTCACCTGACTGTGATATAGAAGGCAAGGATTGCCAGCTACTGAATTCTCCATAAGTCTTCTGGGTTCCCAAAGGCCATGTCTTTCTTGGCCTCTAAGGTTCTTTAGAAGTCAGAAGTTACTATGGCATGACATTTTGCTTCTGCATCTTGTTTACTTCACACTTCACAAATACTGGGTAACGTTGCTGGCTGTCTCACTTTTTTGTTATCATAGGACTGTAACACGTCCTGCTTTTGGGATAACAACAAGAGAAATCACCCATGAAATGTGCTGAATCCCCACTGCTGTCCTGTTAACAGATGTAGGTCTTCTGCTGATGAGTCACCTTCTCTGAGGCACATCACAGTGCAAGCAACACGCTCCTTCAGTGCTTACCAGTTTGATTGGTGTTAATCATGTCCTTGGCTATCAATGCATATCATTACACTAACTCCTGCCCTGGTGTTTCTCCCAGTGTTTTCATGCATGTACAAGTCTCCTGCCTGTATGCCCCGGATGCTGGTTGTTTCCTTCTATCCATTGCCTCTTGCCAAGCACAAGGGTAAGCCAGTCACAAGCAGGGAGATGCTTAACTACCTGGCATCTGAACTGGATTCCTGAACTGGGAAAGAGACTATCATTCTGATTTTAGCAATAAGAGAACATAAAGTCTTGTGTAATTCCTGCCAGATAAGCAGGATTCCCTTGCAGTAACCTTGGAGAACCTTGCCCAAGTTAAAGAGCCTAATAAGATACAGTCCTAATCTGGTTGTACCTCTCCTAGTTTAAAGCCCCACAGCTGGGCTGGGATATCTCCAGCATCTCTGATTACACATATAATAGGGATTTTACTCATGGTAGACTTGCATGAAGCTTGCTGAAACAGTGTATTCTTTTCACAACACCTTGCTGGAATTGTTCATGCGATGTTTATTCACAGTAGTGAAACTGAATTAGCAAAGCATGAATGTCCCTAAATGCTGGTTGTGAAATAGCTGAGATGTGGTCACGAGTGCTTTGTCTCATTTTACTCTTCCTCTGTTTCTTTGTTCAGAAGACCCCAGAACAACCCTGAACTTCTTGTACTTCTTCTCTGATCTTTCTCCATTGTACAGCTGGCTTTGAAGTCTGCTAAAGCTGAAAGAGTCTGTTTTGTCCATGACCTGGGCCAACTTCAGAAAACTTGCTCGATAAATAAATACCAAATTTTTTCAAATTTGGTATCCTAGTGCTCTTGGAATTATTTATATATATTTTTATACATATATATACACATATACATAGATACATACATATATGCTTATGGCATATATATACATACATACATATATGCTTATGGCACATATGCATATATAGAATACATATGTGTGTGTGTATATATATACACACACATATATTTAAGACCTTCAGGGAGCAGTAGCATGTTGCACATGACATAGTCCAGGGTCAAAAATGGAGACTAACGCAGGCTTGTGAAGAGTGTGAAAGACAGTTACATCTCTTCATGTAAACTTCCATGGTCATATACCATTCTTATCTGCCTATAGTATCACTATATGAAAACACAAGTCTCAAAGACCAGTCACTGGGTCTCTCTTCCAAGCAATCTCAAACGAAAATTTGGAAATAACATAGGGAAGAACACAGAAATTGCTAATAGTTCCTGAAATATGAAAGCAACATGTCCTCAACTGAATAAAACTACTCAGCAGTGGTGGTGACTGCTGCAAACTGTTGTCATGCTTGCTGTTAAGGACCAAAAAACCATGAAAAGGGAGTATACCATCTGACATAAGTTGGTTAAACCTTATCCTAGATTAACCCTGGTACAAATAAATTTCTAAATAACTGGGTAGGCCAATATGTTGCTTAAAGCAGACACCAAAGCATAACCCTCAAGCAGCAAGGACACTGTAGTA